TATGAGTTAATTTTGACATTAACTGCGTGCATGAGTAGACCGGTTAATTAATTAATATGAATGCAATTTAGTACCAATTGAAATGCAGTGCGACATTTTAAATGTATGACTTAATTAGTTTGGTAAAATATTTTGCATATATTTTTAAATTCGTTTTTTTCTAATGGTTTTTTTAGTGCTGTTAGATGGCTCTTCGAACAGTTGTTTTTTTTCCCTGTGTTCATAGTTTTTAAGCAAATTTATTGTTATTTATTTAATGCATTGATTGATGCGTGAATATAGGGTTTATATGATATAGAAATACTTATTATAAATTTCATATCACATAAAAATAATTATTTTTTATTCAGCCTGCTTTGTAAGGAAACTATTTTCGGTTAGGTTCAAATGGAGAAATGGCGTTTTAGTTCAAACTCAACATGAACCGTTGAGATACCACGGATTTTACTTTTTAACATATGTTATTCCTAGTTCAAAATAATTGCTATTTGGTTTTAACATATGTTATTCCTAGTTCAAAATAATTGCTATTTGGTTTTTTTACTATATTTATGATTTTAGCTCATGTATTGATGATCAGCTTATTATTATTAACAGTTTTTTTTTACTATATTTATGATTTTAGCTCATGTATTGATGATCAGCTTATTATTATTAACAGTTTTTCTTAGGCTTTATATTGCTGAATTTAAAAAAAACATCCAGTTGTTTTTTGATTTTAGTAGTATTACTAAGTTTTCATGTTTTTTTAATTTTAACTTAGTATTTAAAACCAGTGATAGTAGAACTGAATTGCCAAATATAAAACTAACAACTAACTGATAATATATCTGAGTTATTCCTTGTGTGTTTGAGGTTGTTTTTCCATTTCAATTTTGCATATTCAAGTGTGATGATGACTATTACGATATGTAGTTCACCATTGGATCTCAGTTGAATTCATAATGAAATTTAAAATAAATTACGAAATAGTTTATTAATTTCAATTAAATAAAAACACATCGCATAAATATTTTAAGATAAGGTTTTATTGAAGTATGTATATTATTATTGATTTCAAATACAATAAACACTACAATAATATTAAATATATATACGACCTGCAAATACAATTAAAACTATATGATTATTTTTACACATTTTGAAGTTTTAGTTTGGCTTCATTGAGTATCATATATATATTTTTACTACTTAATTGTTTGAATTATTAATTAATTAATATTTTTACTAAAATCGTTATTATATTTACAAATATTTATTAATTTAACAATTTACAATACACACTATTTTAAATAAATATTCTATCTAAGCTCATAGAAGACAAAAAAGTATTTTTCTTCTTGAAAAATTATTGTGTTTTTTATATATCAATTTGTTTTATTTAAATGCTGATTCTTTACATTACTTAGTAGAATTTCTTCCTCATAAATGTACTAGATAATTATTGAAACATAAATATAACATTACAAAATTTATTTTATATGATTGTTGTGAGCTTTGAAAAATGGAAAAATATTAAATATAAATTAAAATTATTTTAAATAAAAGTGATTTGAATTTTTATTTAAACTTAGTTTTGTGCATACCAAATTATCTCGAAGTTTTTATATTAAATCTCGATATTCTGAGGTTTTAAGTTTTGTATAAATTAATTTCTTTAAATTGCTTAAATGTTCTTTAAAGATTTTTTTTCACTTTAAAAATATTTTTCTAAACAATAAATAAATTATAAATATAAAATACGTAGCTCTTTCACTTCTTATGTAATGTAGTTTAAGGTTTAAGGGACAGATCTCGTGTAGATCGCATATGTAATGGGTTTTATATAAATAAAATTAATAAATTAATATTGCAATTTATATGTTTTCAAATAATAAATAATTAATATAAAATTGTATTTAAAAAAAAGATGGTATTGCCTGAAAGTTTAGATGAAATTAACTAAAATAACTAATTAACTAAATTAATTAAAATATAAAATATTTATTTATAACAGTTGTTATAAAATTTCAATTAATAAATAGTGTAAAACTATTATAGTACGACTGTTTTGAAATATTTTTTTTTGCAAAAAAATTTTGTTTTCATATATCTTTATCTTACATTTATAAAAAAAATTTTTTGAAATATTTGAATTTCATAGATATATTTATATATGTAAATTGAGTAAAAATTTGGCATATATTTTTGCATAAATATTTCAAATATTACTTATTGAATTATTGTTCTTAATATATATTTAACCTTTCATTTATCCTAACGTATTGCTAATGTCATTTTCACTTATCATTTGAAATTGCTTCCTATTTATGATTTCGAAACATACCTCTAGATTTTTGCTCTATAAGATTTGTTGTAAATATATAATATATCTATATATCATCATATTGCACATTTAATTGCACAACAACTAAATGTGTGGATAAATTAAGTTTTATTAATTTTTTTATAAACACCTCTTTGAAGTAATAATTAATGGAAGATTTATTAACATTTTATTTACAAATAAATACATTTTTTTGTTACTTATTTAAGAAAACATTATTAATAATTTGGCATTTATGTTGAAAGTCGAAAGGAATTATTTACATTTACAAAGATATATATTCAAATATATTTTAAACTACTAATAAAGTTGAATCCATTTTCGAACTAAGTATTTCTGTAGATAAGTCAATTTAGAAAATTCTTTCTATTGTTTGAATTACTCGTACAAATGATAGTATTTCTCAGCAGAGCAGCTGTCTTATAAAATATAAAAATAGGAGTAATAGATAAGAAAAGTATTTGTTTTTATAAAAAAAAAAAAAAAATGGAACAAATCAACATGAAAATCCCAAATTTCTTTCACGCCCCTTGACGGATACGCCAGCTAAGCAAGTGGAAATCCTGAAAGTGTAATACATCCTTACAAACAAACTCATTTAATTTGACACATCTTTATTTATATTTTTGTGTACTTTATTTATAGCAAGTGAAAATAAGGAATGCTTAAGATAAACCACAATGCAACGCCTTCCTTAAGAGTTTTACTATTCTGTATTCTGTAGCTTTTTAATTAAAATTTCAATCCCAACTACATAAAATCTAACCAAAATTAAAGAGTGTTGCCTTAATTGCCATTGAAGTCCGAATGTGAGAGTGTCCGAATTACAATCCATTTTCAGTCTGATGTTTAGATACTTATATAGGAAGAAATAAGTTATTTGCCATAGATACAATATACGTTTTGCACTTGATTAGGGAAGAATTTTCACTTTAATAAAGGATAAAAAAAGACTTCAGGAATGTGCTGGATGATAATAAAAACAAAGGACAACTTTTTATCACTCCTATTAATGAAATTGTAATTTCTTGTCACACATAACTTGAACATGGTCATTAAATTGTATATACTCGTAATTCTTGAAGTAGATTTTCAACTTTGTCAATTACTTTTTGATAAATGTTTTGCAAATTTCATTGTATCTCGCAAAGTTATATATCTCCTTGCTTAGCCACTGGAGATGCTACTCATGGTTGGGTGGGACTGTGCGAAGATTTTCTTACTTAAAAAGTTTTTGTGGCAAATGAGTTGCGGTTTTTGGGTTAAGTTTTTCAAATAAATTTTTTGTGTAGTATAAGTTTTTATACTTTAATACTTGAATTAAAATTTAATTAAGAGAAATAGGAATTTCAGCATATAATAGAGATAGTAAATAACAAAATTTATAACTGATGTTGGATTAAAGTTGGCAGTTTAATTGTATCGTTAGTGATGAAGGTTTTTTTGTCTAGATGCTTCACCGATGGATAAGTGGGTACATCGTTATTATTATAATTAATTATTTGTTCAATTATGTTTTAATAAAGTAAATATTTTATGGAATTGATTTTCGCTAAAAATATTTCAATATTTCACCGATGGATAAGTGGGTTCAGCCCTATTATTACAATTAATTATTGAACAAAAAATTAAATATTTTATTGAGAAGAATTTCTTCAAAAATAGTATTCACTAACAAGCGACTGTGTTAATATATAGATAGAAATTCAAGAAAATTAAACAATTTTGGCACATACTAATTAATATGAGAGAATAGTACTTCTACAATGTCCAGTGCTACTGAACGATGACCGTCGTCAGATCTGGTACAATCATGAATCGTATATAAAGTAGAAAAGTAGAATGCAGTTGAATGCATTAAATTTTAACATTGAAAAGTACTACAATTAAGTTGCAGAAGAAGCATTTGGTGGGCGTTGTAGAGACAGGTCCAAGAAAAGGTATTTTGATGACGTGGTAGGTGATGTGGAGTACGTATGCTTTATTGGAGCACCATCGTATCAGATTGGAAAAAATATAATGCATTGATTTGAAAGCACTGGATGAAACCACTTCGCAAAGGACTTTAGTGCTAAGAAGAAGAAAGTTTTTAAGTTTATATGTAGATACAGATACAAATTATAGTACAGAATATTTTAAATTTCTTATATCATATTCAAATCAAAATTTGTAAAAAAATACAAGTTTTTAAAAAAAACAAATAACCATAATTATTTTTGGCACTACAAACTGATGTATTACAAACTTTTTTTTACAGTATTTCTCCAATATTTCTCCGTATATATAATACATATATATGAATTTTTGGGCGCTTATGATTTTTAAGTTCGTGTCTACTGCAACCAATATAGCTGGTCAAATAATCGAATGTAAATGATTTTATTCATGGAATATTAATGTGAATCTAATCTTGAATATAAAATTTATCTATTAAATCTATTCGATTTTTAACAATTTGTAGATCTATAAACCTATCAATTTCAAAAAAAAATTTTTTAAAACACTACAGAAAGTACTTTCAAGTGATGTTTGATAAATTCAGAACATCTGAAAAAAACATTTTTTGAATATAGGATGATTTCTAAAAATAATAGAGATATTTATAACCTACGAAACAAACCGTTCATAAATAAATAAATTAAAAAACAATGTATTAATTAATTATGGTGTAAAATTGTACTCCTAATTCTTACTAATTCTTGTAAACATATTTATCTCATTTTAATTCCTTTCATATAAACGCTTCATTTTATATATAATAATGATCTTACAATAGTGTGACATACACATTTTGGTTAATACTCTTCAGCACTTGAAGTACTCTGCTTGTTTTTGTTTATCGGATTCACTGAAATAAAATCTATATATAATATAAATATGGTTTCCATTCATGCATCTCTACACACTAAATCGAATTTATTGGAATGGAGAATATTGTCGCTGGAACACCGATTGTCACCATAAATCAAATTTTCGTGTAGGAGGCGGTTGTTTAGTAGATGCCTTATGTCCATTCTTTGTATTTTCGTTATTAGTCAATCCGATTCCATTAGTCATAGATGATGGTGACTGTGTTGACAATGATAAAGCCTTTGCATTTGTTGTACTGATTTCAGTTGTTATTATTGCTGCTGGTACATTATAACTGTTTACCGATAGACCCCCAGAACTGTCAGTGAGAATATCTGTAGCATGATCGGTTTTATTTTTCTTATGCGATACACCTAACAGTTCCATGGGTAATAAATCACTGTGTAATGTATCTGCAGGTTGTCCTGAATCTGGGGTCATTTCAATATAGAAAGAGTCATCCTCCAATGCGGTTGATGAGCGGGAACTGCTAATGCTGCTTGAATATGAGTAGTCATTATTAGTGTTGGTGTTATAACTTGCACCAAGCGAGGAATTGTAGAATTGTTTGCAAAGATTTGATTTATCATCAATAGGTGTTGTTTTTTGTAGCTCTCGTACGTGTAAATTATGTAGTGGAGAGTTGTATGGTGGTTGTAGTCTAGTGCTGTGGTGCCATTTATGTACATTTAGTGATTGATGATTAGTTTGGTAATTAAGAAAACTGTTTGATTCATCTTCATTGAGATGACGTTGATGTGGACGTTGTTGGTGTAGATTACGGCGCCACGGCATATCGCAACGATAAACATGTATTAGCCCCACTAATAGTACCACAAACAGTATAAACGAAAGCAGTATAACTAAGCCTGGATGTGCTGATGTGGTTGCTTTGCGTATGTCCAACCATTGTTCAGACTTTAGCATGCTTTCGGAGTTTGGGAGTGCTGTGTGCGCTTGCATTTCCTCTTTTGGGTACAATTCGCGATGTTCGGAAATGCTATCTACTTCATATAATAATCCTTTTATAGGTGTATTCAGTGTGTTGTGCTTATAATTGATAGAATTGACACTCAAATCTACTGGTCCAGTAGCCGGTTTAAGTTCTTCAAATATTTTGTCGTGAAAGTGTGGAACATGCGCTTCATTTTCACGTGGAGTGTTCACATAATGATGTTGCTTTTGGGGATTTGCATGTTTTATTACCGTCATTTTTTTCATAATTAATGTTGGCTTCTTTCTGTTTTCAATTTTCTTCTCTTGCAAGTTTGGCTTCGTTTCTTCTGAGGTACTTTCCATGAATTCTTTTAACTCGGCATAATGGCCAGAAGTAGCCTGTGCTATCCTTTCATTTAGCTTCATTTGTGGTTCGTCCTCATCAGCTTCGGTTAATCCCGTAATGTCCCGTAACCATTTCGTTTCTTTAAGCTCATTTGCGGCGTATTGGCTTTTAGCCAATATGGCTGCTTCGTTTCCTTCGTTTCTCTCGGTATCTACATTCTGCCCATGATATTCCATGTTAAGTGGTGAATATATAGTTTCTTCTTTATTTAATGTTTTTATGGTAGACATTGTCGTTTTAGGTTTGGAAGCAGGCGGTGTTGCTTTTACTGGCAGCAATAACTGTTCTCCATCTACTAAAATATTTTCGCCTTTGTGCATAAGGAGCGGTGTACCAATTAAGTGCCTATCCTTAACGTGAAGTTGTAATGGTTCATGTTTATGTATTGGCGTTGTGGCAATTGGTTTTCTGAAAGTGGAAGCTGTAGAAGTTGTAGGAATAAATGGTCTTTCTGTTGGTTCTGTGGCTACTTGCGCTGCTGATATTAATAGTGATTGCATGGAATTTGTTGAAATTTTTGTTGGCAATGGTTTTCTTTGATGTTTCGTCTGCTTTAAAATTGTTGTTAAATATCTTGTCGCTGTTGTTGTTATCGTTGGCATTGTATTTGCTCGTTCAGTCACCGCATCAATAATATTTTGTTGACCGAATTTTATATTAGATTCGGAATTTGCTCCTTTAATGCTGGTATTTTTCTCAGTATTTTCAACAATTTTATTACTGTCCTTACTAACTAAACTCTTATCTGTTGATGGTTTTATTATTGCAGTTGTTGCTAAATTTGTCGTTGGCAGAGCTGCTGTTGTTGCAGTTCCTGTTATTGCAGGAGTTGTTGTAATTGGCATGTTTTCTATATTTGTTGTTTGGATTTTCAAATATTGTGTTGCTGCAGTATTGGCAGCTGGTGTCTTGGAACCTTTTTGGCTTAACAAAGTAGTTGTCTCGACATAATTGTTGCTTGATTTTATCGACATATTCGAAACTGTTTGTGGCATATGAATTGCTTCGTTTATTGTCGTAGAGGGAGTATTGTTTGGTTTGAAGCTGCTTACTGGAGTAACATTTGTAGTTGTTTTCATAGTTTGTGGTTTTGGAATGGTTTCATTGTTATTTAATGATACAGGCTCTGAGGTTATTGGCTGCAGCTCCTGTAAATTCTGAGCATGTAATGGTACATCTACGCTTGGCGAAGCAGTTGTGTCCGGTTTTGTGTCTGCATTATTCTCGGTTACAACATTATTATATGGCTCCTTGGATACTGATTCCATGTGGTATGAACTCTTCTTGTACGCTTCTGTTACTACCGATGAAATGGTTGATAAAATAGGTGATAAATTTAAAATTTGCTTTTCATTTAGAATCGTCTTAGATGCTGCTGGTGTGGCTGTTTTCAATGCGGAGTCTGTTGTGTTAGTAGAAAAGTTCATTGAAGCAGCACTACGAATTGCATTCACATTGTGCAGCATCATTTCTGCTGATTCGTCGGAGTTTTTTAATTTTGTTGAATCAAAAAAGTTTTGATAAATTTCCGAAAGTTTTTTATTCTTTGTGATTTCTGAACTAAAGTTTCCTGTTGTATTTTGGATCAAATTAAATGTCACGACTTTCGTTTTTTGAGTTGGTTCCATTTTGCTGTTGTCTGCATTCCTGCTTTCTTTTTTCACATATGCTTTAATGGCACACAATGGAGGAGGAGGTGTAGTTTCCATTGCCAATACTGAAATTTTTGGATTCGATGCTCTTTGGTTGCAAATGCTTTTAAATTTTTCAAAAAAGTTGTATGTTTGCAAAAACTTTTGCTTCAAATTCACATTTTTTGGTATTATAATCTGTTGGGGTTGTTGTTGTTGTTGCTGCTGCTGTTGGTGCTGCTGCTGTAGTTGTTGTTTTTGTGAGTCATGTATTTGTTGTTGACCCATATTTGTACCCACAATTTGTTGCTCTAAATGAAAGTCAGTAAGTTCACTTGTAGTACTACCAGTGTGTTCTGTAATACGACATGGACTGGCCCACTCCGCTATACCCAGCAAATCACTACATCGAATTGGATTATCTTCGAGCAGTAAATCTTTTAAATGTGGCAAAGTGTGTATAATCGCTTGATTAATGGTCTTAATACCAGCTGATTGCAAATTTAATGTTGTTAGTTTGGGTAATGTTAGCGCAGGTATGTACAGTAATTTGTTGCCTGAAAGATCTAAAGTTTGCAAATAATTAAGACCCTGGAATGCTTGTGCTTGTATATCCATTATTTCATTGTTATGTAAAAAGAGGTGCTCAAGAGAAGTTGGTAAACTTAAAGGTACTTTCCGTAGTTTATTGTGATCCAAAAATAACACTTCTAAAATTTCAAGTCTTCCAAGTGCATCATCCTCAATATCTTCCACTTTACTGTAGGAAAGATCAAGATATTGAAGTAATGGATAACTATCTAAGTCGCCACAATTTATACTCTGAAAAAATGAAATACAAAAAAATTATTTAGTACATATTATTTAAAATAAATTATTATAAACTGAATTGAAGTATATGGTATATATGAAGTGTTAAAGTATAATAGATATATAAGCGTAAATGTAATTGAATAATGTTGTTTATAAATGGTGGAAATTTTTTTTTTTAAAGATTTTCTTAACATATCTAAAAGCATATATCGATGTACTACAAAAGAAAACTTATTTTTGATTTTCGACAATTTGATTTTCACTTTATAGTTCAGGCTTTGTACTAAGTGATTACCATTTGTTCCAGTTTATAGCAAATTATGAACGATTTTTTTGGTGAATAATTCGCTTCAAGTGAGGCTTATTTTGTGAGGCGATTTTTTGCCAATAGGAACGAGAACGTCTATATGAAATTACCTTCAAAATGCGAATATTTTACTTAAAGCGGATTATTCTAACTATGATACTTTCGTATGATATTTTCGGATATCGTTTTACTGCACTTCTTTTTACTAAGTACAAATAAAATCCTATAAAAAAAATTTTGTTTTAGTTTTAAATTCACTTTTCCATTTTTTACCGTTGGTTATTTGCCTTTATGAAACCCAAACTAAGTAGAAACAACATCAGCTGCTATGACAGCCGTAAATCTCTTTACCGAAAGGCGTTTAAAAAGATACATTACTATGTCTATCATTTTAGAATGTTATTAAGTACATAGTTAACGAGCTACATCTCAGCACTTTTATACATGTTTTAATAAGATATTCATCTAATTATCAATGCTGAATTTATCTGTAAAATTTTATAATTTTCTTATAAATTTACATCTTTTTCGTTTTTTATGGTTTTTCATTCGGCACGTAGTCGACAAAAATTAAAATTACATGAGGAATTAAGTTCAATTAAATATTTATATATATATATATATATATATATATATATTCATACATAATAAAGAAAAAACGCTTCTTTGAATGCAAACATAGATGTAGATAAATTAAAACGTGAGAAGTGGAAAAAATAATCCAGAATTATTTTTATGTTTGCAAGGTGCTATGATCCTGAGTCGACATTTACGTTTTTAGCAAATACACTTCACTTAAAGCTGTGCCATTATCCTTATTCCAATTATCTTCGTTCCAATTACGTATAATTAAAGCTGCCATCGTTCACAAAAGGTAAAAAGTCGACTTTGCTGATGTTGCATCTCTCAGCATTTTAGCATTTCAGACTTTAGTTCTATTGTGAGTTTTCTTTCTTGTGTTTACAAGCCGTAAAAAATTATGTCTTGTCTATGCCGCACAGGAGCAAAAACCATTTCCCCATCCAATGGAACTTCAGCTCTAATTTATAATAACAACGAAATTGAGCGTTTGCGAAACTGTTTAAGAAATATGAGAGGGAAATAAATCTGTGCTTTATTTAATTTTACCTTTCCTGGTGCTTATAAACCCCAGCCACCCTTAAGTGATGACTGCGGTTTATTATCGCAGCTGGAGTTAACATTTCCAGTTTGCGGTTCAAATGTTGTGTAAACAGATTGCTAAGACATTGTGCCCTTTCCCCCAAAACTCCACCGTTCCTTATCTTAACATTTAAATGCTGAGTTTCAAGTTTCAAATGTTCTTAAATAAAAGCAAATCTACTGGATGGATTTGTATACGAGTATACAAATACATTAGTTTTCTAAGCAAATAAAAATCAAACTCTAAATTTATAGTTATAGCTTGGCCAGGCCTTACTAAATTTCTTGATTTCATTTTTGTTTAATCTTTCTTGCATGGTTTCACACGTCTTTATTTCAGTGATTTAAAATGAAAATCGGATAGATTGATAAAATTATAGTTGGGTTTTTCATAACTTAATATTAATTAATTAATATTAATATTATTTAATGGGAGAAACATATGTAAATGGGAGAAACAAAGTGTACTTGAACATGGGAGAGCCCAAACAGGCATGCGGCATTCCAGAAGATTCATTGATCCTGAACACATCAAAGTTGATGCTATTCTTAACCTGTAAAGAAACGATATTCAACTCTACACTGAACTACTTACAGGACAGGACTGTAGACTTAATTACCACATGAAGAATTTAGGTGCGGTAGAATGTGATTCCTGTCGACTCTGTCACGAGGAGAAGGAAACATTGGAACATATTCTATGCATGTGATCCTGAGAACATAAGCTGTTTTAATTCTCAAAATTAAGTTAAATAAATTTTTTCATTGGTCGACTTTAAGTGTTTGTGAAAATTGGGATAAATAAATATATCGCTGTTTTTAAAATTTTTGGTTAATAACAAATGCTGTCACATAGACCAGTAAAAATGTTCCATGTATATGGCCATATGTATGATGTATGGCTGACGTCAATAATGGTCATATCAGTTAATTTAGCATGGTTCATTCTCGTCGTAGTTTATCATTACTAATGTAAGCACTAAAAAGGTGCATTAAACGGTATTCGATGACGGTCTAATAAAAGTTAAGGAGCTTGCTGAGTTATTGGGCATTTCGCTTGGCAACTCTATAGTAATATTGCACTAAGATATGATAAATCTGGCCGCGTACTTTTTTTTTTTAATGCAATCAGTAAAGTATTTCTATAAATCTGTTTTCATTGATTTAGTAAAAGCCTTAGAAAGTTTTTGAGCTATTGATGAATTAGGGCCATGTTATGCAGAGTGTCTCGGGCATGGCATGAACAAGATTGTTGTTGTTTACAATGTAAATTTTAAATTTTAGAATGAGAGAAAAAACAATATGTTACACTCCAACATATTGTTACACTCTAGTAACCAAAAAGTAATCAAAGTGGTGGATTATCAAAGATGGAAAGTTGACTGATAGTATTATCGGAACAGTTTTCGTAACCTTCAGATTGACTATTATAAAAATAAACTTGTCCCTATTGTAAGAGAAGAAAAACGGATAAAACATATGAAATCAACTAAAATCATCGAAGACATTGTTTTTATAAATAACTTATTGGTTTCTATTATAGGCTTAATTAATGAATTTGTTTTCAGTTTATAATTTAAACTTGTAGATGAATAAAATTTAAGAAAGTTTATTAGTTAATTTATATTTAGTTTTCAATATGTTATCATATCAACTGGTCTATGTTTCCTTCTTTACAAATCGTTAAGGCATTTAAAAATGACTTTTTATTTTCATAAACATCCCTGTTTTTGTGCTGTTTATTGTATCTGCCTACTTCAAGTTATCTTAACAAAATAAATGTTACACTTATATGTTCTAATGAGTTTGAATCTTTACCAGAGATACATGCATATGTTATTTCAAAGAAATTTTCTATATATTGAAACAGTCAAATTCACTAACAGTCTTTTTGGTTGAAATATTTGCTTGACGAAGGATAATGAAGAGTTTTCATTAATTTTGAATGTGTTGAAAATTTACAATTTATCAAAAGTAGTTATAGGATTCACATGCCGAAGATAAGCTAATATTTCATTACGCATAGACGCCTAAACTCCCAACAGCCAGCCCTGTAACAAAGCAGCCACGTCGCACTTCACACTTCAGCCTTCAGCCTTCACTTCATCCACAACTGCCTTTCGGTACATTTTTAATTATACATGGCGGTATAAAATCCAACCATGTGCATAAACGTTTGTAGATTAACAAAGCTAGGATGATGTTGAATGGGATGGGACTAGAACCAGGACTTAGCGATAACATGTCGTTAATTGATGGAAAAAGCGTTGAAATTGCGGTTCGTTGGTTGCACACGCTTGATGGATTTGCTCATTTATCGATTTCGGAAAAATGCGAACATGAAAGCAAAGTTTTATGTGATGTTTTAAAAACAATGTGCTGCGGTGAAGGGAAAGAATGCAACTTTGTAATTGGTTTGGAGTTTTGCGGATGGCAAAAAGGCCATGTAAAGAATTTCAAAGATAGCAAATGCTTATTTTGCGTAAGTCAATATCGTTTTATTTATGGATGTACCATGTATTTATGTAGAAAGCAGCTGATGTGTAATGTTTGTAGGCAATCAATATAAACAAAATAGAGTTGTTAACAAGGTTTGTGGGCAACATAAATGCTTACGCTTGGTTACACGTTATGTGTGTGAGTGATTAGATGCTTAAATTTAATTAAAATGCAATAAGGCAATAAAGTATCTAAAGCTTACCTTAAGCCAATTATCGCTGAGTTTGAGTGTGCGAACAGATTGGGCTAATGCAGCAGGTATTTGACATAATCCAGTACCGCTTGCGTCCAACTCCTTTAAACTCCATGATGCTACAAATTCTTGCATTGATGGTCCTAAGTCTGTATTGTATGCAATTGATAGCCGGACCAGATCGGGTATACCCTGCAATGCGCGTATTGCTTCTCCTTTTAGCCTATTGTGAGACAAATCTAAGAATTGCAAATTTGGCAAAGCTAGAAAGGTCTCATAATCGATATCAGTTATGTTGTTGTAAGACAGAAGTAAAGTATTTAAGCTAAGTAAATTATAAAATGTTTCTCTGTATATGGAGTCCAATTGGTTGTGAGCCAAATTTAGATGTTTGAGATTAAGCATACGTTGTGGAAAAAATGAACTTTCTAAATTTTTGATTTTATTGCATGAAAGATCAAGTGTCTCTAAAACGCTGAAAAGAGATATGTTCAGTACGCTTAAACTTTCTAAATCATTAGAGCTTAGGTAAAGTTCACGCAGTTTGGTATTAGTATTGTTAATACTGGACTTTATGTGATTATTATTGAGATTGAGAGACACTATTGATGAACTGTCATTCAATGGTAGAGATGTTAGTAAATTATGAGATAAATCTGCTTTTTGTAAGTTTCTCAGTTCAGTAAGATTCAGTGCTTGTATTTTATTAAAACTTAAGTCGATTTCAGTGATCGCACTTAAATTATATGTTTCAAAGGTTTCAACAAAAAATTTGTTTAGATCCTTTCTAGTTAAATTTAGTACTTCTTCTGTTTCAATTTGTGTTTCCTCATTTATAGATCTGCGTAGTATCTCATGTGTAGGGTGGTATGAAAGCATTTGATAATATCTCAACTCTTTCTCTTCATTTCTATATGCTGGTTCATTTTCATCTCTTAGAATCCGATGTATAGTTTCATATTTCATTCTTCTCATATCCGTTGTGCTCCCAAGAAAAGGTTCAAAACTTGCAGCTTTTCCAGAGTTACCATTCTTTTCTGTCGATTCTATGAGATTATCTGTTTTGGTACCTTTAACATTGGGTATGAGAGCAGCAGCTGCCAATATGGTGACAGCCGCCAGTACCACAACATCCATTGGTCTTAGTTTGACAAATGCCATTTTGTTTTTATTTTGGCTTCTGTTTGACATTTTTGTAAGTGAAAATAATTTTCAATTTTTTATGTTTTTAATATTCTCTTTGCAATTTAAACTGAAAATTTATGCGTTACGTGATGACGCGTAGTTCTCGTTTGCTTTAAGGTTCTTTACTTTTCTACTTGGCGTATCCTTATTTTCGTATTTTGTTTTCATCTTTTCTACAGTTTAACAGTTTGCTACTGACACTTTTAATTTCGCTTTGGAATGTTTTTTACTTTCCCGTTGTGTTGGGGGTTTCAGGTGAATTTTTCGCTTTGTTCTTTTGGTTTGCTTCCGTGATTGTTTCTTTAAAATTTGTGTCACGTTTGCTTCGCATTTTACTGGGCTAAGTGACAACTGTCAACTGCGTGGCAGCCTTGCTCTAAGCCATGCCCGTTTCCGCAGAACTCTTAGCTCTGAGTTTTTGGCGCATTAATGCGCTCATTAAGAATATGCATTCCCGTTAACGCCAAATTTTCAATTAAGTTAACTAACAGTATTTTTTTTCTCCGAATGTTGCTTGCGTTTCCATCTTTTGCTTGTTTTTTTCCCACTAATTTATATAAAATGTGTAAACACAGACTCATTAATTTTTAATGAAAATTTAAGCAAATCGTTTTGTTTGGTCGTGACGAAAGTTCTGTTTTTTTTTGTAATTTTGTAAAAAGTATTTTAAAATTTTTTGCAATTTGCTTGATTACATCTTAAATGTGAAATAATTTTCTTTATTTCGTTTTTATTTTTTTTTAGTTCCCGTTGAGTAAAAATTCTATCACAATGAAATTCTTGTACTTTGAAATTTCTTGTTTTTTTTCTGTGCAAGTAGTCGTTAGATGGTTGTGATGCCTGAAACATTCAGAAAAAAAATATATATATTAAAACTATTTCAAAAATAATTAATTTCAAAAGTTATATAAATTTATTAATTATTTGTTTCTAAAAATCATTTTTCCATATGTTTACTAGGTATTACTTGCATTCTGCAAGCCGTGAGTACAAAAATCTACTCTTTTAATAAGTCGGAGACAGAAATCACATTTTCTATTATAATTTTAATTAGTAATTTTTGTCACTGTTTGTGTTTGATTGAGAATAATTTTATTTTTTTTATTTAGTGAATGGTAGGCTGGCTATAAAACTATCTCGAATGGTCTTTCGAAAGTATTATAGGTTTTAATTGTCCATGTATATAGATGGTGTGTGTGTGGTAGCTGAACTGGAAGGATAAACAAATCCTCTTCAATTAATAGTAGGTAAACGATTGGGCATATCAGAACCAGTCGGACACGACTGTACTTGTGTAGCCAGACTATCAATAGCGATTGCTACATGGCACAACTTGCGCGCTTGAAGAAACAAATTGTGAAACTACGACCCATATGACACAAAAAAAAAAATTCATCAATAATTAGCCTACTAAGATTGGTCAGCAATTCCATCATAAGATTAAAATTTCAACGGTGCTTCTTAACGAATTTGCTTAATTTTTTTGTTAGGAACAAAATGATCGATCCTTCTCATATTGATTTTATTTTAGTGGTTAAAATATTAAAAGCTTTGTATATCATTTTTTATTTATATAATAATTTTATGGATATTGGGTGTTGCTTAATTTCATTTAAATTTGTTCAGGTTTAGATATAGAAATCATACGGCCATTTCATTCCAGGATTCCGTTTTTAAGATTAACAAATCCGGCTTAGTTGACATAAATCATGGTTGTGAATTGTTCCACATATTGATCTTTATGCTTCTGAATAGGTTCTTGGATTAAGTTGGAAATTAAATGAGTAACTTTAAAATCATTAATTGTAATTAATTTAAATACTATCTAAAGAAGTTAATTACGTTTGAATTACTTTCTATATACTTAACAAATTTTTTATATGTGTAATGTATTAAATTAATAATATAATATTGTAAATTCTGTTAAAATTTTAAATTAATTTAATAAAGTTTTAGAAAGTTGTAAGCAATACAAATAAATATCTGAAAGTTTAAGTAAAATGGAATTAATTACATAGAAAGCTACTGCATTTTGATGTGAAATAATGACCTCATATTTTTTTATAAAAAGCTATACATTTGGTAATAATTTTAAATACTGTTTTCCCTTTATATTTTCAGGTACGTAATTTTTTTCACTTGGTTTCGCATAAAAAAAGCAATTTAAAGAAATTTGCATTCGCAAATTTCACCCAGAATGACAATAAATGTGGGTCATTATGTTACTTATTTTTCTTATTTTATAAGGGAAGGAAGAAAGATGCATGCAAGTAAGTCATTCGATAAGATAAAAATTTCTCGTAAATAACTTTTTCATACAAAAAAAAAAAAACGAAATAATAAAAATGAATTTTTTAACATTTAAACATATTTTTATTTAATATCTTATGTACATGAATGAAAAATTTTAAATTATTAAATTCATCATTTAGTAATGCTTTTTATACTTTTAAGAGCAAATAGTTGTGCCATGAAAAATACAACTTTAATATTTTAAGGTTGAAATGTTGCAATGTTGCAATAAACGTGAAAAAATTTCTGTCATGAAATTAATTTTTTGTTAGTACCGCACAGAGATGCATTTTTTCGGAGCAACAATTTTTTCTTTAATGTGCAATGTGAAGTTTCCTGTGGCGCATTTCTCTTCGTTTTGCTGTCCCATTAAATCGGGATTTACTCTTTCAGTAAATGGTAATTGCACTTGAGGACTTTCATAAAAACAACAGTTGCAATGCACTGGAAGTGTACTTTTAGTTGTCAGTTATTTGTATTTTGTTATGTCGCCTGTTCTCTTCTTATCAGTTGAATGGAGTGACACGGCGCAAATCCGAAAATTCAATTAAAAAAAAAATGAAGTAAAACTGCTGCAAGAAAACAGCAAATGGCAAAGAAAACTGGATTAGTTGCCATGTTGCTTTTGCTTACACACAAATAACTTCGGTTTTAAAGGCACTTCCTGATACATATTCCTTATTCAAGTTAATTTGAAGTTTTCCTCCATTCAATATTATGTATCCTGAAATTCTCATTTATATTTCGTGTATGTAATGTTTATTTTGATTGTTATTTCTTGATTCAATTTTATAAGATTTTTAAATATCACTGACGAAAGTTGCTAAAAATAAACTTAAGTACTATAATGTCGTTAAATGTATGCGAAATATTAAAATAATTTAATTTTATTAACAACGACTAAAAGTTTTTATTAATTTTTTTTTAAAATATTCTTATTGAATTTTAAATATAGAATATTTACAAGTTATTTGACATGGTTTTTTTGAAAAAATAATTTTTGATTCTGTGTAGTTTATATAAACTATTATTTCGATTAATTATGGTTTGCAGATTGTTTGATTTTGTAAATAATTATATTTTGCACACTAGTGTTCTATATGGCGAATAAATGTACATTTGTGTAGATTAGATCCCCACACATTGAATTATTTAAGTATGAAATATTATTAACATTAGTTTCTCAATGTCCATAACTTCTGTAAAGATATTCCCAAAATATTTTTAAAGCTTTTTGTAGAGAATTAAATTATTTATTTTATTATTGTTAAAATATATTAAAACATTTTCTTTTATTTGCAATCTGTTTTTAATATAAAAAATGAATTTTTTGACAAAATATAATTATTGAAAAAGTTAATAAATATTTTAGTTATATGTTTTATATAAATGGTACTAAATTTCTTATAGTTAATATATATTTTATTTATATAATTTTTTAAAATACTTCTTAAATATTTCTACAAAAGATAATTATGAAGAAAGTTTATAAATAATTTTATATCTTTTATATAAATGATACTTAAATTCTTAGTTTATAAATCTTTTATTTACATAATTTATTAGAATGATTTCTAAATTCTTCTGATACGTTTAGAACCTAAACTTTCTTTAATAATAAAAAGTTAATAAAACTTAATAAAAAAGTAAAACTTATAATTTAATTTTTATTTATTATTGATTTATTTGATGTTATTTATTGATGTACTATTCGACAATTTTGTACTTAACAAAATTAATAATCCCCATTACTAATCAAATTCTTTTTCTTTAAGACGACTTAATAAAAAAGTAATTTGTATAATTTATTGATTTATTATTGATTTATTTGATCTATTTGATGTACTATTATTCCAACACTAAAAAATAAAATTGGATTCGACAATTTTGTATTTAATAAAATTAATAATCTCTATTACTAATCTAATTCTTTTCGCATGTTTAAATTAATTTGAATTGAGTTTACTGCGTTAGCTTTAAGATTAAATAAATATGAGGCCTTTTAATGTATGCTCTGCATACTTAAGGACTTACTATTTTATATGTTTAAATTCTCAAAGGCAAAAAAAAGGAAAGAAAAATATTTATTATTAAAAAAGTTTTTCAATTTTATAAAAAGCTTTCATATTTCTGTGAATAGTTTTCCCTTTACACTATTCACTACATAAAAACATCAATTTAGTTCTACATGAATCCCTTGACAAAACATAACATAAACAAATACCATAACTGCAGAAAGAGAAAAATGTATGTTATGACAGAAATGTGAATGTGTCTTTACAGATCTCGCACTTGAGAAATTTTCACTCACATTCACATACATATATAGTCACACACATCCTACATATACTACACATACGTTCAAACCACTCATTTCAACGCTACAATACACCATTTTATTTAAAGTGACTCGAGAAAGGGAAAATGTCGGAACTGGTTAAAATTTGCCTATTCTTGCCTTGAGGCTTATAACATAAACCAAAGTTTAACAAATAAAAATAATAAGGAGAGCCGCCTGCAAACCAACGTAACTACAAATATAGCAAGAAAAACAATAAAACAAGGTTTTTACTTTTTTTTTTGGAAATAATTTTGCACACAATTTCTCTGAAATGTTATTAAACTTTTATTTTTCATCTTTAAATACAAACAAATCCAAAGCAAACATTAATGCGTGTGAGTGTGTTTATGTGTTTATGCCTGTGTCGTATGTATGTTGTGTATGCTGGCCATGTGTGTGTACTCATTGAAAAAGTTTCTGTGCGAATGAGTGCTGTTTATGGTATCTCAAATGTGTAAAAGCATTTTGATCCGATTTTTTAAATAAAAGTTATGCTCCTATTTTTGACTTTTTGATTGATTTTTTCATAAATAAAAAAGTGGCAAATTGTGGCTTTTATATGAAAGATAAAAAGTTGAAGCAAAAGCAAAAGTAAAAATAAAAGTAAAAGCAAAAGGGGAAACCAATTTAAAACTCTAATTTGAAAAGTTTTGTTCTAAAGTAAATAATGTCAAACATATTCGCAAATAATCAACATAACAATTTCTGTTTCTCTTTATTTGTGATTAAATCGCTTGAGTAATTTATGACTTATTGCCACAGGTTTATAAATAAAATAACGAAAATATTGTGAATTCAAATAGTTTAGTAAGTAATAAATAAATAAATAAATATGATTTTTCATTTTAAAGTATTTTAGTTTTGGAATATGATTCGTTTTTTAAATCACCGATGATTTGGGAAAAGAGATGTTTTCGGTAGTAC